TATAATCTTTGAATTGTAACCTCCTTTAATATCCTATAACATGTATAATTCTTAAGTATTAGGCATTTATTATATTTTTATTCATACATATTTTGAGACAAACAAGTAAATTAATAATTATTGTCTTATGGATATTCAGAATATTGTAGCTGCAACCTACCTTTGATATATGGTTGCTAAGGTTACATACATTATTGAATAATGCAATCTGATTAGTAAAATACTGTAGATATATAATAACATCAACTTTATTTACAAATGGAGAAACTTGTCAAAAGACCGTTTTGACTTAAATACAAATTATACAAATTCACATGATGTAAAAAACAAAAGTAACAATCATTACAGCAAACTGAAAAATATACAATTATAAGCTAAACACAAGAAAATTTGAAATCACATTAATTTTAAACTTCATTAACATAATGCAAATAAGTTAATTCATACTCTGAGTATCAAAGTACATGCTATTGTGTTGTGATATAATACAAATATATATAACAACTAAATGGCCGTATTCAACTGGTCATTCTTTGTTAAAACCATGCCCACCTGCACAGTGGTGCCATGGAGGAAGAAAATTTTCTTCCTCCATGGTGGTGGACAGTGGTAAAATCCTACTTCACAAAGACGGCCAGTCGAATAGAAAACTGTTAAATACTCGACAAACCAAAATGGCTGCATAGTTACCGCGATACACACTGCGTAATCAAGGCTGCTTCGGATTGTGACAGTATGGGTTTTTCGTATAAAAAACTGCTTTCATCAATATTTTTTTTTTTATTCTGTTAGCCTACAAATATTTTTTTTACTTCAGTGTGGGTAATATTGTAATGAAATTTAATCTAAATTATATTAACGCAATGATGTTGCTAAACTGACCAATCGGCCATATTTGTTTTGGTCATGTGCACAACTTAACGCATTCTGGTTACGTTAATTTTCGTTGTCTACGAAATCTATTTTATGAACCAGTCGAATGAAAATAATGCTTATCGAAATTTTATACTCAAAGAAATGAACCAGTTGAATAAGCTCAATCCTTTCCGAGACACTAGCGCTCATAGGGCTGGAGCTTATCCCCAGTTTCTGTAGTGTGAAGCGGATGAAAGTTGTACTAGTCCGTCGCAGGTTAGTCCCCAGCAGTTTGCTGGTACCCATTGATACAGCTGGGTGGACTGAAGCGATGTAGCTAAAGTGCCTTGCGAATCTGCACAGCGGAGACTCGAAAACCCTGACTTTTCGATTGAAAGCCCGAACCTCAGCCGCTGCGCCAAACTGCCGCTACACAAATATATATATTAGTACTGTAATCTATAAAAAAATATATATCAGCAGATGATTTTAGTATTGTATTATTATTAATCCATATATGTTGTCATAGGCATGTTTTTGCTTCCCAGCAGTTTAGTTCGTCGGCTTTACTGGGCTACAGCTTCATTGTAACCGATTTTAGCAGTTCTTTGTTTTATTGTCATTCAGCAGTTACTTATTTTGTAGGTACAATATTCACGCCCATGCTTTTATCTTATGTATTTTGTAATACAGTATACTTCTTATAAATTCCTCCATTTACATCCTTGTCATTACCCGATGAAGAGCTATGCTCGAAACGTATTATTTTGAATAAATATTGGCAATATCTTACTTTCGCTTTGCGTTATCATTTGTCTATATATTTATATACAGAATACATAAGACAACAGACTAAGTATTCTTGCACAGCTGTGGTGACAACTTTGGGGTCTTTAAAGATGATATTTCGCGGTAGTGCATACCATTTTTGGTTAAATAGTATTTGTATGTATCGTTGAATGCGTGGAGCACTTGGTATGGAAAGCAGTGCTGTGTTTAGTTTGGCGGAGGGTAGGATTCTGATGGTAGCGTTTAATCTAATAATATTTCTTCTAAAAAAGACTAGTATATTGTCTATGCAGCATATCTTTGTACAGAAAGAAAGCAAATAAAATCAGTGTTAGAAATTCTGATTATTGGTTATTAAATAATTTTCAATTTTCTTACAGATTTATATGATGTCATGATTGATATTAGTTCTTATACTGCCGCAAAAAATGTCACAATCGAATGTTCTGCAAATGCCAGTCCACTTCCCGTGGTAAATCTCTTTAAGGATGGCAATGTTATCAAGAAAATCGAAAATAACTTGCGTTTAACACATAAGATAGACATTGTAACAGAGAGTGATGGAGGAAGCTACAAATGTACAGCGACAGACAGATTAAATTTTACTAAACAAAGTGACACAAAAGTTCTCAATTACTGTAAGTATAGCAATATTTGATAAAATAGGTTCATATGGTTTCTAGATAAATTTTATTCTTTTACTTATACAGTACCAGAAAAATTAAACATAGTTACAAACATATCTTTGTCATACACATTTATCTAAAGATGACGAAAAAGTCAATTCTTTTATAATGTCTATGTTTTATGAGATGCCAATAAATCAAAAGTACTGTACAGGGCCGGCGGAACGTTTTTTAAGGTGGGGGGGCCCCACTTATAAGATGAATGGGAATATGAATCATGCAGATCGGTAATCAAACCTAGGTGGTGGGATCAACATTCCTCCCCCGGGAAAATTTAGATTTCTAGATGGCTGGAAATGACCTTTCTCGACTTTTGAGCTAGGTGTCTAATGACTTTGTTCTTCAAAATTCAAGGTTTTCCCCCTCTTGAAAACGGTACGGTAAACTTTCTCATTACAGTAAATAGGCCTGTTATGTGTGTATACCTTAAGAAAATGAGTAGTTGCATATCGTATTCTTTTTTCAATGAATCGATAAGCGCCAAAGAAAAAGGGGGTCCATCCTAGATGACGGAAAATGAGCTTTTCCCCGACTCCCGTGGTGTCTTAATTACTTTTCAAAATTCAAGGTTTTTCCCTCTTGAAAACGGTCAGGTAATTTGTTCCCATTGTTATTACAGTAAAGGCCTTATGTATCTGTATACACATAACATAAAAAAAAAAAAATGAGTAGTTGCATACGAATTTTCCATGAATCGATGAATCACAAAAAGAATGGGGGGTCGGGGGGTCCTCCCCCGGGAAAATTTTGATTCCTAGAAGGCGGGAAATGAGCTTTCCCGACTTCTGGGGTGTCTTTTAATTACCTTTAAGTTCTTCAAAGTTCAAGGTTTTTCCCTTTTGAAAACGGTCAGGTAATTTTTTACCATTGTTGTTCGGTAAATAGGCCTTAGCTGCATATACATACATAAAAAAAATTTAAAAATGAGTAGTTGCATACGAATTTTCCATGAATCGATGAATCCCAAAAAGGAGGTGAGTCCGGGGGTCCCCCCCCCCCCCCCCCCCCCCCCCGGGAAAATTTTGATTACTAGAAGGCGGGAAATGAGCTATCCTGACTTCTGGGGTGTTTTTTAATTACTTTTAAGTTCTTCAAAATACAAGGTTTTTCCATTTTGAAAACGGTCAGGTAATTTTTTACCATTGTTATTCAGTAAATAGGCCTTAAGTGTATACATACATAAAAATGTTTAAAAAAATGAGTAGTTGCATACGAATTTTCTATGAATCGATGAACCCCAAAAAGGAGGGGGGTCCGGGGGTCCTCCCCCTGGAAAATTTCGATTCCTAGAAGGCGGGAAATGAGCTTTCCCGACTTCTGGGGTGCCTTTAATTACTTTTAAGTTCTTCAAAATTCAAGGTTTTTCCCTCTTGAAAACGGTCAGGTAATTTTTTACAATTGTTATTCAGTAAATAGGCCTTATGTGTGTATACATACATAAAAATTTAAAAGAAATGAGTAGTTGCATACGAATTTTCCATGAATCGATGAATCCCAAAAAGGAGGGGTCCAGGGGTTCTCCCCCGGGAAAATTTCGATTTCTAGATGGCGGGAAATGAGCTTTCCTGACTTCTGAAATGTATTTTAAGTTCAAGGTTTTCCCCTCTTGAAAACAGTCAGGTAAATTTTTTTTATGTGTGTATTCATACATAAACAAATGAGTAGTTGCATGCGTATTCTTTTTGCCATGAATCGATAAATCCCAAAAAGAAAGGGTGGTCCAGGGGTTCTCCCCCTTGAAAATTTTGATTCCAAATGGCGGGAAATGAGCTTTCCCGACATTTGAAGTGTGTTTTAATGACTTTTATGTTGTTCAAAATTCAAATTTTCTTAATGGAACAAATAAAAAACAAAACAAATTCAGCTTAACGGGTCCTGAAAATGTAGGTCTAGAATTATTTTTCTTTTCCCCCTTTTTTTTGTTGCCCAAGGGAGGGATCAGGACCCATGACCCCCTCCCCCATATCCGCCAATGTGAATTGCGAGAAAATGTAACTCGGTCGGGTATTGGATAAACAATCTCTTTCGCATCCTTCTCCTCCTTCTTCCCTTCTTCTTTTCTTGCATTTCCGACCATACAAAAATCTCCAGACATTGTATATTTTTTGCCAAAAAGTGGGGGGCCCGGGTTCCGCCGGCCATGCTGTACATCAAACCTGTCGATGTTGACAGGATTTTTCCGAATATATTGTGTAGGTTACTGCTAATAAGAATAACATGAAATATCTTGTAATGAGGTGCCATCTTCGTATACGTACACTTAAAAAAAAAATTAACGAGGCATGAAAGAATTTGTTTAGGTGTCCAATTTTTTTCTTCATTATTGACATGGATTTCTAATGAAATGAAAAACCCTTTTCCAGTGTTAGGTAATTTTAAAGTAGATTTGACAGCATAGGGGTATTCAAGTGCAATATTTTTACTCTAAATTCTTATAGGCCTATATAATGCAACTTATCAGTATCATTTGAATTGTGATTTTGTGTAAATGTGAGAGTTAGCAATAACTAGTGCTGTTCATTAGAAATTCAGTTTAGTTTGATTTACTTGCTTTCATCAGAAATTGAAGAAATAAGAATAAATATAAAATTAAGTATATCCATTTGTATAGGATAATGTAGCATAATGGTAAATCTTGGCTCTACTAGTAAACACCAGCAGTGATTTTTTCATGGACCCCTTCAACATATTGCAGTACTGTATGACAAGGAATTTACAAAATACTTATAATATTTCATGAAGACTAACAAATAAAATCCCCAGCTTAATGATATCAACAGCAACTCAGAATCTTGCTCAACTCAGTGGTGGCACCAGCGGACAGTCCAAGTGAGACCAGGTCGCTGTCGGGAGAGATGTCCAGCAATTTTTTTCGGAAAGACAACCATGCATGTACTTCATCAATGCAAGCTTCTAACTTACGAATTGTCTCGGAGGCAGCCTGGGGACTAAAAGATGTGTATAGCCATGGAGGTATGGTATAGCTGAGTATCGTCAGCGTAGATGTGATATATAATGGCATGTTTATGGATAACGTACCAGAGGACGCGTGTAAATGAGAAACAAAATGGGCCTCAAAGTAGAACCTTCAGGGACATCATTAATGGGAACGGGGCATAAGACAGCATATGCTCCAACAGACTGTTTTCTACGTGTTAAGAATTGAACCACGACACACTGTACCAGAAATGCCTAAATTTGAAAGTGTACTGATAAGAATACTATGATCTGTCTTATCGAATGCGGCAGACAAATCAAGGTACGCTGACAAGGTTCAATTTCCTTTGCAAAGAACCTGCAGTATAAAATTCATTCTAAAGCAATTCAAACATCAAATTAAATATGAATATTAAATCAAGTAACATGGCAAAAATGAAAAACAAAGCAGAGCTTTTACATAATATGCGAGTCGAATGGCCGAGCGGTTAGGGACTATAAACCGTAGGCCCAGTGTATATAATGGCCCGTGCGCACTATAAAGAACCCAGTATATCCTTTGAGACGAGTTGGGGGATACTCCGGTGAGAAAATAAAAACAGAAAAAAAAAAGAAAAAAAAGAGCATGTCTTAAGAAAGACCATTCCTATTATTCAACTCTGTTTTTACTCTCCTGTTTGTACTCCTACACTTTTGGAGTTTTTAGGAGGTCGGCTTTACCCACCAAAACCAGAATCATTGATCGATAAAGATGATTATTTCATGCATAACTGTGTTACCTGGCTTGACTGATTATTTTATCATAGTTACTATACAGCAATCAACAACTATTTAATTTCAGGTTAAGCGTTTCCATAATGTGGTGTATCAGGCTAGGCCTATTATTATAGCTATAATGCAGAACATTGAGTGTTTTTTTTTTCAAATATAAAAACCTATACCAAATTATATGCTATAGATAGGCCTATGTAAGACTTTCAAAACTAAAATTTTTATTATAGGAATTGGATATTTTTAATAAACTATTCAAAAAAATTCATACCATTGCCTTTTTAATCTCCTTTATCGATTTTATTTTAATTGTTTGGCTGTTACCCGTTTATTGAGATAGACCCCTCTGGAAATAAGTCCCTAAAAGGGACTTAGAGGGTTATCCTAATATCTCTTTTCCGTTTTTTGCCCATTTTTTCGCCTGTCAACGAGATTTTCTATGTCTGTATGTAATTTAAGAGATATTGAATAAAATCAAAAATCAAATCCAAAAATGTAATTTTCGAATATAGGTTTGAGAGATTGTTATTAACATTTTCTGTTTTACAAAACAAAAGTATTCTTTGCCTATCATGATCCTCTAGTGATATAATTACATTTGTTGATCAAAACGATTTCCAATGCGGTTGTCGTCAGCTTTCAAATTGTTTTCGAAACAGTTATATTATATTTTATACCATTCACAATTCCTCATCCCTCTTCTTTGGCCGCCTCCATTACCACCTCCTCCTCCTTTTACCACTTATTACTGCTACTGCTTCTCCCACCACCACTACCACTGCCATATTGAAAAAAAAAACAATATTTAGAGGTGCTATAGAAAAAAACTTAAGTGAATAATCCATAGGATAACTTAATTTCATAATAATCAATGATATATTTAATATAATCCATCTTATTTTTTAATATAATATTTGTAGATGTTGACTATTGTGTTTCTAATCCATGTGGAAATAGAGGGACTTGCAGACCTACAAATTTTGAGTTTACTTGTGAATGTGAACAAGGCTACAGTGGGAGATATTGTGAAAATAGCATTTACGGTGAGTATCGTAAATGACACGAACTTAGGCTACTGTTTTCATCATATAAATAAGCAATTGTAATCGTGAAAAATTTTTTTCTTTACTAGGGACATTTCATCACATGTACAGCATTTTATTTTTTATGTTGCTTCAAATATATTTTATAACACATTTAAGGTTTTTCAATGTTATGTAAAACTCAGCAACCTAATAAGGAGAAGGAAGTGCCATGGGGATGGATAGGTCATACTTTAAGGAAAGACCCTACAAATGTCACCAAGCAGGCCCTAGACTACAACCCGCAGTGGAAAAGAAAACAGGGCAGACCCAAGAACAACTGGCGTCGTCTCTAACAGAGACCTGAAAAATATCAATATCACATGAGTGGGGGGGGGGGGAGCCAAAGCTGCGGCACAGAGACGAGTGAGATGGAGACTCATGGTGGACACCCTGTGCTCCCCAGGGGGCCAAGAGGATTAAGTCAGGTCTTATGTAAAACTAAAATCACTAATTACGTAACATCAATTTTATTAAAATGTTCTTGCTGTTTCGATTTAATAATGGCACGGGAAGGATTGTAATTCCATAGGCCTACGGCTTAACAAAAAATTATTTATTTCCTTATTCATTACCGTATATATAGCGTATTATTCAATTATGGAAGAAGTATTCAAGGTGCTTTTCCTATGCGTATAATCAGCATCAGCACTAGTAATTTCATTGCGAATCCTTCACCTACCAGATACCCATTTATACTCCTGAGTGAAGAGAGGCAGTGTCTTGCCCAAGACACAAGCAGTGTGACGACCATCAGTCTCGAATCCCGACCTGAAGATTGAAAGCCCAACGCTTACACGCAGAGTCGCACGCTCTTACAATTATCCTTCATTTTAACATTGACAAGAAAACAGTAAAAACAACACGGAGGGACAAGTTCCTATAACCATAAGATTTCTAAAGAAATATTCTATGATATGATTCAATGTAATTATTTTATTACCACGGCTGCAAACGAAAAGAATTGATAGGTAGGCCCCTACTTTAAAATATTTCAAATAGTAATTTTTTTGGTAGAGCAAGTGGAATAATAAAAAAATGTCGGAATTGCAATTTCGAATAAACAATCAAGGAAACTAAAACTGTGGCACATCATTATCACCACCACCAATCACCACCATTGTCAGTTATCGTTGTAATTGGTGTTGTTACTTCCCTACTGGAATATACTTCATTAAACATTCAATAATAAAATAATGAAAATAAATAAAATAAAATGAAATAAAATAATTATGTTAAACTTAGACCTATAGCCTATAGCGATTCACACTATGAAACCCGGCATTGAATTAATCGCATATACAGTAATACGTACCCTAGAGAAAATTCCATGATGCTGAGCTGTAAGATCTGCGCATTTCTACATCTCTCTTTATTGTCTTTTATTTTATTTCTTCAAACACATATTTACAATAAACATAATTATTTTCAGACAAAAAATTAAATGCTTTCGCTTATCGAGTTTTGGCATAACATAAATTTGACTACTGAATTGATAGAGGGTAAAGCACTGAAAGCAAATGTTCTGTTTGCGATTACCATACACCCACTTTTACTCCTGGATGAAGAGAGACAACCGTATCTAAAGCGACTGGGACACAGGCGAAATGTACAGGGAAATTGAGAAGAACTGCACCCACTGCGCCAAACCGCATTATTATGATTGAAGTTGTATGACATTTACTGTTATATCTTCATCCCTTCCAGGCACAAGTTTGACAATTGGAATGTTGTTTGTGGGTATAATTGTTGGAGCCTTCGGAGTAATTGGTGGATTGATCGGCTACACGAGGATTAAACGGGTTTGTCAGATACCAAATCAAATTGTTGTTCGTGATATATTTAATAGTGTGCCTTCAACACATTAATACATAACACCCCCTCCCATTTCTGTTCAGTCAAATGATCCAAATTAAAATAAGCAATCTTGTACAAAATTATGTGTCATGCAAATCAGGCCTAATGGCTGCAAAGTCACTTATGAAAATGAACAGATTTTTTTTAACGGGTTGAAAATTTATAGGAAAAGGACAAATGGTCTTTCACAAGTAGGCCTACAAAGTAAACTTCTACTGTTTTTTCTTGTTTGTCGTAGTGTTAAAGGTAGCTTAAAGTTTCTTTTTTTTTGTGGCGGGCTTTCCGCTGTTTAATGAGCAGTTTAATCATGGTTTAATAAACAAACAAATAACAATGTGTGTTGGCAACATAATACTAAAGACAGAAACAAACAAAAAATAGAATGACAGAAAGAAATTACTGTAAATTCGTAACAATGATTATTTTTTATTTCAATTCAGAAGGCACAAATAGGCAAGAGGAGTGCGGACCAGAGACAGAACTTAGATGTAAGCTCTTAATATTCTAATTCACCTCATCTTTGTCACATATCCTCTTTATGTCACGTGCACAAAGCCTGCTTCTGTAAATTTCATAGGCTTTCTGTTTTGTCAAATGATTCTGGTAGATAGTTTATATTCACATTTCTGTTAGGGCCCGGACTAGGTGTAGTTTGTTTTCACTGGTCCTCCTTCCTACAATCAGTAGCATGCTATCGCGCCGGTTTGTAGGACAAACATGCTCTACTCTACCACTAAAACAGGCCAAATGGCAGCTGTATTCTACGGATTAATGAAAATTATTGTAAACTTGTAAAATGTATTGTTTTTTACAGAGTGATAATAAAGTATTGCAAATAGGTATTTATCCTAATTCTTTGCGACTTTTGAAACAATGATAAGAAATTATTTCACATAATATTTATCTATTCTAAAGGAATTTGAAACTCCCTCATTGTATTCATTTTTTCCTTTTAATTCACACTACAGTATTACCAAATATCAATTTACCAACAAGTAGCAATGACCTAAATTGCCTTGATATATTACCGTACGTTTCATATCTCAATACAGACTTACATGGAGTACGTAGTAGATGATCCAACTGCTGGCAATAAAGACCAAACTTACCAAGATCTACAACATAGAGAAGAAGAAACAACTTATGTTAATGCGATACCGAGAAAGAAATAAGAGTAGAGAGAGCAGTAGCTAGTTGGAGTGAATGCTTGTTACTTGTGCAAGGGTCATTATAATCCCAGCGAAATTTATCACTGATGATTGTACAACCGCGAATCTAAGAATTGTTTTAAGCTCTGTCCAGATTATGATTTTTTTTTTTTACAAAATATGTAGTATGTCCACGTAAAGTCATGATGTGCCTATTTGGTGATGATAATGATGTCATCAGACCATATTTAGACATGTCACGTGTTTTTAAAAATAACATTTGATAGTCTGGACAGGGCTTAAGTCACGTGTCACTCCAAATATCATACATAACTCACGTAGATTCATATATATTATTATTATATTTAAAACACTATGCTTAGAAAAGGTAGCATATAATGAAGTTGACAAAGCACATAGTTAGACAACACTTTCATATACTTTTTTAACAACCTTTATAACCGTTTATAATTTTAGACTAGACAAACGTTTGAATGTAATGAATCCCATATATCGAACTTCGACGTTTATATAATCATGTACTATTTTGAGTAAGGACAAAATGTTTGTGCCGATTTACCGTCCAGACGCGTGCACAGCTCTGGAAGAAATATATCGTAGCAAATGTCTTAGCATTATTGGCATATTTTGAGTTTATATGTATGTCTATTAAAGTATCATTAATAATAAAAGCAACACGTGTGATAAGTCATTATTCAAATTCCGTGCGTACTGTACAGTAAAAGCAGCAGAGTATTCAGTATGTAGTAGGTTAGTTGCACATTTTTACGAAATATAATGGAATAAAATATATTGACCATGTTAATCACTAAAATAAGTCAATATATGAAATATTGTTGAATAAATAAATAACAGGAAGTCTATTATAGACTACATCATTCACAACATTTTAGCATGTATTGTATAATCTATTTACCATATGTTTACCAGTAGGCATAGTATCTTACCTGCTTTGACATTATAACCACAATTATTATTGGCTATATTTAAAATATAATTCGACTTCAATTTGCAAACGTCTTTCTAATATTACAGTTAAAGACGAAACCGTATTTAATATTTGCTTTCGAATATTCTGTTATGGTAATAATATGTGCAGCATTTTGCCGACTGAGCTTAAAAAAATGATTATTTTATGGGCGGATCCATAGGGGTGATGGTCGTCGACGTCCGGTTTTCCCACCACCCTTAACATGTTAAAGCAGTGGATGATTTTTTTTTGGGGGGGGGGGGGCAGCGCCCTCCCCCTTTTGGAAAGTAAACTAAAGAAAAAAAATTGCCCAAATGTATATATGCATCGAACATAATATTTTGTATACAAAATTATTTTGGCATTTTTAAAGTTTTATAAAGTACTATTATCAGTGTATTGATGTATTTATTAGATTAGAGAAGCTTACTCCATATTCCACGCTTGCAATCCTGATTTCTTGGCATACAACTGTTAACCTAAATTATAGAGCTTGTAACTAGGTACTTAAGGAATATATTCAACATGCTGGAATATATTTTGTTTGCTTATTTTTGCTTCAAACTATTTAGTAT